CTATCCCATCTGGCCTGTAGTGTTTGTGTAGAGAAATCAGCTGAGAGCCTTATGGGGGTTCCCTTGTAATTCACTCTTTGCTTTTCTCTTGCTGCCTTCTTAACTAAAATTTTTATTCTTTTTACAAAGTTGAGATTACATTGTATTCATTACTTTTTCCCCCTTTTCCTCCATGCTGTAAATATTACTTTTTCACCTTGCTGTATTTCAGTGTATCATGGACATATCTCCATAGGTAGATCTAACTGGATCTAACACATCCTTTTTAATAGCCACATAATATTCCATAATATAATATGTGTGGTTTATTCAGTCTTCTTTTCCTCATGGACTTTCAGATTATTTCCAGTGCTGCAATAAACTTCCTTACCAGGAAATTAAAGACACCCAGTTAAGAATCACCCTGTGCATTCAGAGGCTCTTGCCAGTGATGTCTTAAGTCATTGAGATACTCTGTCAGGAAGATCAGTTGACTTTTCTCTGTAGAAAGCTCCTTGTTCCCACAGCCCTATGGGGCTGAGCTGGGAAAACTATCCACCTTGTGACCTTCCTGGTCACTCAGCGTCAGTGGCAGGCCCTGTAAATAAGGTGGTGTCCAGTAAGAATTTGGAAAAGGACCAAGTAAAGCTCTGGAGTAAAGCAACCTGCTTGGCCTCTCTACATAGCCAGTTCTGTCTTTGATCTTAAAATGGTAGTTAAAAGTTGGCAGACTTTTACATAGTTTTGTGATGATCTTGCTTTCTAAGACCAATTAACAAAAAAGGACTAATTTAGAAAGCCTATGCCTGAAATACTAATATAAAGGTAAAAGCAAAAACTTGCAAATGGCAGCCAGCAGCAAAGAAATCTTAAACTCAGAGCCCAGAATTTCTTCTTCATGTTGATGGCCAATTCTTGAGGCCATCTTTTGGAAGTTCTCTTTCAACATGAAAATTCTAATTCAATATTCCTTAGACATAGCCCATCCTGGGAAACATAAAATATATAGCATTGAAGTATTTAAAATAGTGTATCTTAATATTTTTATAGCTATTGTTACCTTCAATTTTAAGATTTTGGACTGTGAGGCTAGTAATAATCGAAGTATTCATGGAGCTTCTCCTCCAAGCTTAGCATAGTTATTTGCAGTTCCACAGGAAGATGCTTCACAGAAATAAACACTTGATCATGGCCGTGGCTTCTGATGTGATGTTAAGTGACTGAGGACAGAGAAGGAGCTTGCAAATGGGGTCTGTTTCCAAACTGGTGTTAGGTACTTCTCACACGCTGTAGAGAAGAGATCACTACTAGAAATTTATGTATCATTGAACCAGACATTCAAGCCAGAGAGGAATACCTATGAAAAAACAGGGACTCTCTCTTTCACAAACATACATATATAGAGTTGACCCTTAAACAACATAGAGGTTAGGGGCGCCAACCCCCATACAGCTGAAAATCTGCATATAACGTTATAGTTGCCCCTCCGTATCTGCAGTTCTCCACCCCTGGATGCAACCAACTGTGGATGGTGTAGCACTGTAGTACATATTAATTGAAAAACATCCACCTATAAGTGGACTCGTGTAGTTCAAACCGTGTTGTTCAAGGGTCAACTGTATATAATTTTTTCTGTTTAAAAAGTCTGAAGAACTGAATCTAAAGTAGTTGTTATATGGTTGTTTATTCAAATCACTGAGATTTAGAAAGATAGTTTTGTGGTAATCCATGTCATCTTGCTTTCAGAATGAACTGAAACTGGGTTTGCATCCTTGTGTGCTTGGTTAGCAACTTAAGTCACTTAATATTTCTAAGTCCCAGTTTCCACATCAACACGTGAGGGTTATTCCTCACTACCTCATAGGATTATTAGAAGTTTTAACTGATATAATAGATGTGAAAATGTTCATGCAGTATTGAATACATTCTGGTTTCCATTTTAGAAAACTCAAGAGGTCTTCCAATAGGGAGACGTTTCTCATTAGAATTAAAGGGGCTACATCAGAGGTGGTAGAGTGAGTAAAACTTAGAAATGAACAGTGATGACAATAATCAAACATGTGGTTACAAAGAGTTTCCATGTCCTTTATCTCATTTATTCTTCACGAGTATCTTATGAACCACTCAGGCTAACTTTTATACCCATTATATATAGGACAGGAACTGTGATTCAAAGAAAGTAAGTGGATTAACCAATATCACCTTGCAAGCCTATGATGGATTGATTTCTTTATGACTAATAGTCTAGTGCTCTTCACTTTATGCAATAATGCCAGACAGTTGGGAAATACTCAATAGTTAGAAACCTAAAATTATGCCTGAAAATCCAGCATTGTTTTCAAATTTTCCATGATTCCTGAAAAGATGAGGCAGCTGGGGAAGTAGACTAGCATATCCCTGGACTCCTGAGGCCCACACTGAGCTCGATGTGCATTTCCTGGGTGGTACGGACCAAGGAAGTTATGTTCCTAATACGAAGTGTATCATATTTTGTGCCTGTTCCACTTCATTTTTAGCGCTTCCTGAATTGAAGTTAACTGATGGGGAAGGGCTCCCTTCCAACTACAGTGAAAAGTTTGATTAGGTTTGTGTAGGCCAAGGATCGCATATGTCTGCCCTCAAGTGCCACAGATGAGTATTGATATTTGACACATTCTATGTTATGGAGTTATCTATTCCCTACCCTTTTTCCCCCATTGGAGAGTGCACGTCTCCTAAAAATGGAGAATACATCATTCCTTTGTACTCTCGAGTCCCAGCTGACAGCCTAGCAGTTAATAGGTTCTCCAAAAAAAGGTTTGCTGCAGCTGCAGCTGCTTCTTTTGAGATACTATTCAGTGTTGACGTCTTAGGAAAGGTTCATTAGAAAACGTCGTAGGAAACAGAGGGCGAGTTTTAGAATAAGCAGTATCGCTGCCTCCCTCCCTGTCTAGTGAATGGTCTCTTCCCTAGAGAGAGACAACCGCCAGGCAGATAAGGGATGCTTAGGAAAGTACTAGTAATCACCATGTCCACTTGAAGGCAGCAAAAGGTAACCGAGGTCCTGTTCTCCCAAACGTGAACTGGAGGCGATTGAAAATTAGGTCTGAGACCAGAGCCGATAGAAATACGCAGCTGCCGCTGGGGAAAAAAAGCCTTTGAGATAAAGTTGAATTTCTTATTTTTAAAATGTAGGAACAGAGTGTATTTTGTTTGGTCCTTACAAATTACAGTGATTTGGTTTCAGCCTGAACAAGCACCACTAGCAAATGCTGGCAGGCAGAGTCTCCACGGGGGCGGCCAAACAAGTCAGTTCGCATTTCCTTCCAAGTCCTCGTTTGGCTAATGCATCCATAGAAAAGCAGAACAAAAGACAAGAGATTGCTGCATCCTGTAGCATCCAGATAGCTCCCTGGGCTCCGGGGTTATTTATAGCACTCGGCTCACGCTGAGGCCTTCCTGCTCCATTCAGCCAGTGTACGAATGTCCAAGTAGAAACCGCGGGACCTTGACGGTAGACAACAGTGCAGGTGTGATCAGTGATTAGCTTCTCAAGGCTTCTGTGTTGCTAGTCTAGACATGCCTCCTAACCACCATTGTGAACCTGCCCCTTGGAAGAGGCTCATCCTCTTCTTCACCTGCACATTCTGTTTGTAGATGTTGCTATGAGGACAGAGTCATCAGAAATGACGGATGTGGAGCCCATGGTCAGCAACTTTGCATCATCAGCAAGGGCAGGCCGCCGGAATGCTCTACCAGACATCCAGGGGTCAACGGCCATCGGCGGAACCTTGGAGTTGCCTTTGAAACTGGAGGCCCTCTCTGTGAAGGAAGGTAACACTCAAAATCCTCTTAAAGTCAACAACACGTCTCTCTTCTTAATCCTGTCCTCTGGAACAGTATCCCTCCTAACTAGTTAAAAGCACTCTTTTTTTTAAACTTGTTTACGAAAACTTCTCAGCTTTCGTTTAAAGCTGAGTAGATTTTTTCAGTCTTTCGAAAAGTGGACCTTTTCATCTTTTTATCTCCTGGTGTAAATGTGGAATGTGAATATTTAAAAATTTATTTGTATTTTTTGGGGGTGGTGAAGGTAATTAGGTATTTATTTATTTGGAGGTACTGGGGATTGAACCCAAGACCTCGTGCATGCTAAGCATGCACTCTACCACTGAGCTATACCCTCCCCCTTGAACATTTACTTATTGGATGTGTAAAGTTTTGCACTGTGCTAGTGACTGGGAATACAAAGGTGAATAATCCCTTCCTTCAATGAGCTTGCAAAGTTTTTTGAGAAGCTCTTAGGAATAAAGTAATTTTCCTTCTGTTGTCCATCAGCAAATCACTCTGGAAGCGTCTTCTTCCCTGTAGCCCTTCTATTTCTCATATCTAAGAAGAAGTTTATTATAAACTAAAGATGAGACCTTTAAGACAAGTATTTGCATAAAGGGTGATCATTCTTTAACCAGGAGGAAAAGTTGAATTAAGGAAAAAGGAGCAGAGCACGGGTGTAGCTCAGTGGTAGAGCACCTGCTGAGCATGCGTGAGGTCCTGGGTTCAATCCCTCATACCTCCTTTAAAAAAGTAAAGAATAAAGGAGAGCTTTATTTTATTTATCAAACGAATGAAGGAAAATCTTCGGTCTTTTACTGCATTGCTTACGTATCATTCATAAAAGCTTCCAGAGTTCAGTCTTATGAAAATAAATATAATACTTACAGTAAGGTGTTAAAGGAGTCCCTTCACTTAAAAACATTCAAGTGCTTTAAAGACAGCTTTAGTTGCAAGTCATTACCAGCAAGCCTGTGCCTTGTGCCTCATTTTAGACTTCAGAGTGAACTCAGTGTGTGTGTAGAAATTCATTCCTGGTGGCAGTGGGGCAAGAGTGAGCCGGAAGCTTCTGCACATTTACCCTGTTCACCTGAGTCCCGGAAGAGGGCTCTTAGTTCTTTGCCTCAGGAGGGGATGTTCTATCTGGTAAAGCCACAGATGTTCCTGGTCTGATCTTTATGAAGTTCTTCTCACCTTGTAGGCCAGGGACTGGAGGCCAGATCCGTGAGTCCCAGGGTTACCTCACCTTTTTCTAGGAGACATTTCATGTCTCATACGGGACACTGCAAGTAATAGTAGAACAGTTTCCATGAACACATGAACAATCGTAAGATGAATGAAAAGATGGAGGAAAAGAAAGAAGAGAAATGAAAATCTGTGTAATGTTTTTGGCTTTTTAAGTTAAACTCTAGTATGATTATGATTAACAGAGCATGATACTGACGTTGAAGGGCCATCTTCCACTGGAGGGGTAGAGAAGATAAGTCGCTTTTTAGTGTCACAGGCCTAGTTAAAGTTGATGTACCCTAAACACACACTCAGAATCTTAATGCTTATTGGCGTTATTTAGTCAAGCAAAGGAGGAAAAAATACATGGTAAGAGAGTTAGCAGTTTCTTCATTTTATTTTGTTCACTAGGGAATCCATTGTCTGAAAGAATAGTGTTCCTAATTTTATATTTTCCTTTAAATCGTTTTGAAAGAAAATCGAAAATATTAACTAAGACTCAAAATTTTCAAAGTAAATCAACATATAACACCAGATATTAAAGAAAACACAAAAGGACGTGCTTTTACTAACGAAGCTATAAATAAATAGCTTTAAGGCCTATCTTCTTTTCCATTAGCTTCGTACAACTATTAAGTGTTTAAAATGAGTATTCAATTGCTAGTAAAAAACAAAAAGCTGGGGTCTGTCTCAGACATTTTGGTTTCAACGTTTTGGCCATTTACAAATAGAAGTTCTGGGGAAAGTCTACAGATTTCCTTCAGATCCATCCTCTTTTGTTTTTGGTTTTTGATATTCTGAAGTGGGAAGATATCCAGCACCCTACGTGAAATTAACCTGCCTGAAATCCTTCTAGTTCATAATCTGTCTTAATCTATCCCTTACCAATTGATAGCCATGGTAGGGAGGACAGCGATGCCTTATAACATATCAACAAGAGGTGACAGAGGGCGGCAGCTTAGGAAAGTGTAAATGTCACGAGGGCCTTATATTACATCCCTCCATCACTGACTAGTCACTTGATCCATCACTCAACTTAGTGCCAAGGGCTGGACACCGCTCTGAAAACCAGCCATATAGCAGTGAATAAGACGGACATAAACGCTTGCTGTCATTTTTTCTTATATTCCAATAGGAGAGTTAGATTATAAACAAATAAATACATAAGTCAGCAGTGAAACATTCTATCCTATTAAAGTAGGATGCTGTGGCGAAAAGTGATTGGGTGGCTACTTGGACTGAGAAATTAGGGAAGCCCTAACTGAAATCTGAATGGCAGCAGTATGTTTTAAATAACAACGCAATGGTCCAGGCACAGGAAAATCAGAGGGAAGAGCCTTCTTTGCAGAAGGAGCAGCTTGTAGAAAGCTCTTAGAGTGGCACAAGGTGGACATGTCAAGAAACATAAACTCTGGCTGCAGTGGCTGGAGGCCAGTGGGTGAGAGGGAGGAGGGAGAATGGTTGGAAGATGACGCTGGAGAGAGAAGCGAGGGCTAGATCTCTTAGGGCTTTAGAAACCTGGATGAATAGAGAGAATTTCGTTCTAAGTGGGAGGGTTTTCAGCAGGGGAGTGACATTCACGTTTTAAATACCCACTTTGTCTGTTACATGGAGAATGGACTGCAGAGGAGGAATGATAGATACAGTTGATTAGAAGGTGCAGTCCCCATTAGGAAATCTTTAGAGGCCAAGTTAAGCTTTCAGACTCATAAGATCACATTTGGTGCCAGTCTCCGCTTAGAAGAGTACAGGTTTAAAAACATAGTGGGCCGAAAGGGCGGCATTACCCTTAGGTAATCTTCTTACAGAATATAATTTACGTAATCTTCTTCTATAGGAGTCCTTGAAGCAACCCTTATAAGCAGTCCTGGGGACCAGTGTCTGTGTCACCCCCACCCCACCACTCACTGAGAACTCAGGTGCAAGGAGACAAGATTTGCATCAATGTGGGCAGAGGGTCAGAATCCCTGTATCCCATGGGGGCTAACACTTGGAAATAAGTCATTGGAGACTGCTTCCTAGCTTCCCTGCAAGAGACATGCTCAGTTACAAGAGTCATTGCATTTAGGGAATCCCAGTGCTATGGTTTCCTACCAGGTACTTAGAGTTAATATACAGTTTCTCTCAGCACAGGTGTGTTTTACCATTTGGTTCATTTTTACCGTAAGCTTGAGTAACCAGGCTGACATTCCACCTTAATCTGCTTTCTGGGGTAACAAAGCTAGAAAATTAACTCAAGTGAGACTTGTCCTAAGAGAAGGGGAATCGGTTTTGTTAACTTTTATGCATCGGACTGTTGCAGTAGTCCGTGAGAGACAGGGCTTTGCATAGGAGGAAAGATGGAGAGAGGTGGGTGGATTTGGGATGTGTTTTATAGGCAGAACCCATAGGACTTGCTGATGAATTGAATATGGTGGGGATGACGACAAGTAATGAAGAGAAATGGAGGATAGTTCCTGGAGCAACAGGGTCAGTGGAGATGCCATATACTAAGAAGGGCCAGCCTGGAGGAGAAGCGATTTTAAGGGTTAGAGGAGGGATTTCTGCTTCCTCCATATTTCATCTGAGATGCCTAAGAGACACCCAAATACTGTCAGCTCTACATTCAAAATTGGTTCAGAAATCTGCCATTTTCCCCGTAAAAGTCCTAGTCACTTGATACTTCTCTGATCCCATTTTCCATTCTTCTTTTTTTTTTCTCTGCACTTCCTACACATTGTTGCCTTTGACCTTGACCATTTCTCTGCATAGAATGCTCATCTCCCTGCTGTCCATCCACCTAGCTAGCTCCCTCACCTCTTTGGGTCTTTACTCACGTGGTCCCTCCTCAGTGAGGCGTTCTCAGCCAACCCTATCTCATGTTGCAAACCTCCAGCCCCAAGACTTCTTGACAATCCCTGTTCTTTAATTTCCTCTGTAGCACTTCTCACACGCCACACCTTTTACTTATTTTAGTTATTATCCATATTCCTCATGAAAAGTTTTCTGAGACCTGGAATGTATGTTTTTTTTTCTTTTTTTTCACTGCTTGGTACATAGTATGTGTTTCATAAATATTTGGTGAATGAAAGTTGGAGAACAGAATAGAGTCTGTCAGATTTCTTTTCAAAGATGACATTGATGATTTTGGTAGGACCAATTTTGGGGACATGGTGGAGACTTAATAGTTTTATTTTAAAAAGATGACAGCAAAAGATAAATACATTTGAAAGGATTAAAGAAAAGCCAGTAAGTGAAGAAACTGCTGTCGAAAGAAGGCCTTTGTTGAAGATGGAAGTGACTTGAGGAAGTGAGGGAGTCAGGAGAAAGAGGGAAAGTCGGATGAAATGGAGGGGCTGGGGATGCTCATAGGAGCGCTGTTAAAGCAGAAATGGGTGGGATCCTGGATTAGGAAGGAATTCGAGCTGGATGGTAGGAGCAGCACCAGGGCCAGCTCGAAGGGTGTGCTGGCCGGGCAGCTGCATGGGGCCCTGGGCTCACAAGAGGCTTGCACTTGGTTTTGTTCTACTTTTGCCGTCTTTCACTTTGCACTGGACTCCAGCAACTTAGTAGTCAGTCCTGAGGAGCACAATTCCACCATCAGAGTCCAGACCTCAGAGGGTTTTAGAGGTTTGATGGCAGAAAGAAAATCTGATAGTTTTGATTTTTTTTTTCCCGGTGTAGCAGAAAGTGAGATGAACTCCTAAGGAGGCAGAGTGTGAGGAAAATCAGAGTGTGATCCAACATAGGGAGATGGGGGCGGGCAAGGTCAATCAACCTGAATCCAGACTGTGGCTCTGTCACTTCCCCACCTGGTGACTTGGGCAAGTCCCTTAGCCTATTTGTGCTTCAGTGGACTCATCTATGAATGGTGATGGTAATAATACCTTAGAAGACTGCCCAGCACATCATAATCCTGGAGAGTAGGAAAGGTTACTAGGAGAATGGACCTATATCTCTTTTCAAAGTTTGTCCCCATCAAGTAGAAAATGACTAAGGTGCATAAAGGAAAAACCAACTGTTTTATTCCAATATAATACAAAGTACATTTCAACATATTCTCTATATGAGTGAAAATTATTTATTTTTCAGATGTGAAAAAGAAAGATGAAGAAACAACACAAGACCAATTGGAAAAGCCCAAAGATGAAGGAAAATGAAGGCTCATAACCTATCCAAAGTGCTGAATTTCTGCACATTGAAAGACTTAGTGGCTCTGCTTTCCTGAGACGTTTGATCTGGTAGTAACTATGGTAACGTTGCAGCCCTAAGCAACATGTGTGTGTTAGATAATTTTGTTGTGACGCTACTCACTTGGACTGCAACTGTGATATCTAATGTAGGTTATTAAAAGGCAGATTACTTCCGAATTGTACCCAAGAGAAAGGTTAAGAATGCATGGTCACTTAAATATATATCATTGTCTATAACCCCAACAAAACCCATTGTTCTCTTTTGGATTTATTTAGCCAGATATATTTTTAATGCCATTTTTATGGTAATGGGTAAATCATTTCTTGGTAAATATAAACCACACACTATTAATTTAAAACTTTATGGAATTTGTAGGAAATTACGGCTTTTGGTGAGAAAGGATGATAGAATAGTCAAGAATGTGTAGACAAAATGATGTTTTTAGCTGAAATGCACCAATTTTCCTCCCAAACCCTAAAAAGATTTGGAAAAATAGTAAAAAGTTTGATAACCCAAACATCTCTAGGAAGTTTTTGTCTGGTGTGTTCTGCTTCTCGTCTATGCGTACTGTGATTTTTCATGTGGACTCTTAAAATGGAACATTTGTGACAAATTGTTTATGTGGAATATGCCTATTAAATGAATCTCACTATCTTCCTTAACTTTGGTGTGTGTATGTGTATGCATATGTTTTTCTTTAATGTGAATTACACAAACCATTTTACTAGTTGCTTTATATTATCTTTTCTTATTCTTAGGGCTTTTGTGTATATGACTTGTTTCTAAAATAATTTCCTCAGAAATGGAGACCTTAATTTTTATATCTTTCCTAAACTAGCTAACATAATAATAGGCACTTAAGTATGTAGTGAATGGTGTAGGTAGAAATAGCAAAATACTTGCTTTTAATATATATTTAATTATATATTTTAAAAGGAATGAAACAAAAACCAAAGCTTTAGTAAATTTTGATTTATTAGACTTTTTAGGAAAATCATAGAATTCTGAATTTTTAAAGAAAATCTGACTAATGAAATTATTTTTATTTTCAGCTATATATGTGTGCAGTTCTATTTTATTTGATTGTTGACTTAAGCCATGTCTGTATACAGTAATCAGATAAACTCCTTCACTATTAAAGAAACTTACTACTGACACAAGGCTCCTTCATTTTATCTCCTAAAGCATACCAGGTGAAAAACGGTGACACATTTTAAAGAAGTTCATAAGTTAATAGTCTTTGCAATATAAAACATCACTTGCTTACCATTTCTTTGACAAGTTTACCTTTAAATCTGATATACAACCAAAAGGGTAGATTTCCAAAGAATCTGGATGTTTTAAGTTCTTAAACGTAAATTTTTCTTTAAAAAATAATCAAAAGTAATATTTTAGGTGCAGGACTAATTTAACATTCAATAAAATGTCTTATAGTCAGTTAATTCAGTTAGATTTCTGAAAGGTATTTAATGACATGGTATTATACCAGTATACAGATGGGTTAAATTAGAGTTTTCAAGTTTGGGGGGATTGGGAATTTGGGCTCCTGGAGGACATCTGGTACCCTCTGGGGACCTTTCTGGCTGCTACTACTAGGGGCGGGACCAGGGAGAGAAGGTGCTACTGACACCTAGTGGGCGGAGGCCAGAGATGCTGCTAGACCACTAAGCGTCCTTCAGTCCTACAGGGCTGACCCTCACAGCAAAGAATTACCTGGCCATGAGTGTCAATAATGCTGAGGTCAAGAAACCCTGGAGAAGAGTTAAACTGTCAAGCACATGGATTTTGGATTCAGACGACATGGGTTTGAATTCTAGCCCTGCTACTCACCAGCTGTGTGATCTTGGGCAGTTTACGTCATATCTTGAGGTCTAAGTTTTATCCTCTTGCAATGGTGCTAATAATAGTACATATTTTATACAGTGAATGGAAGTGGTTAATGCAATACAACATTTAAGATACTTGGCTAATGCCTGGCAAAGAGTAATTATTCAACAAATATTAGCTATCATCATCATCATTTTTATTCTACATGTTTTCGCCATTATTTTCTGGTGGTGGAGATGGTGGGCAGCTGGATTTGTTAGCATGGCCATCTTCTGTCTTCCTCCAATTTCACAGACATCCCCAATCTTAGTGCTGGGAGAAGATACTATGATGGAAATTGATGGTTCGTACTAATTACCACATTAGTGCCTATTCAGTCATGCTAATGAGCAGCTGACAGGTAATGAGTGTTACTCTTTTAACAATGAGTCACGTCACCAGGGTTTTATGACAGTTACTGACACAAAACAGAATTTTGAGTCAGTAGTTAAATGAGTAACATGTTCCATTATAATGTAGAAGAAAAAAAAGTAACAGCTTTTGGGTCACAGTATTATATGATACTTACCTCTCTTTAGAAGACCAGAAATGAAGCCATGTCCCTCCCCACTGTTGCTAGTAATGACATATATTCTTTATCCTGCATATTCTAAATCACTTTTTCATCACAATACACAAGTAAATGTCCCATTTTATACATATAATATTTTGCAGTACACAAGGTGTCAGGCTTGTTGAATATTTGCCAACAAAAGGATTTTTTTCTGAGAAGAATTCCAGACAAGAATGAGAGGTCAGTTGTAGTTGAAAGACTAAATTCGCCAACCAACTTCTAAAAAAAAAAAATCAAACTATTTTGGGGAATTTATAGTATTTTGTCATAGCAAGTAGACGTTTTCAACAAAGCCCCAAGTTGGGGCTCATTAAACAAAGTTTCCATGCTCATTTTTGCTATTGTCTTTTTATAAGCCATTTGCTTTAGTCAATAGCTATAAAGTCTTACTTAATGCTGTGAGAGAAACCAGGACAAAAGGGGACGATAAAGCTATAAAGGGGCCATCTGGAAACTTGACTCTATACACAGAAGGAGAAAGAACAAAAACCATTCTGTGTCACATGCCCAGAGATTTTGTTTTCTTTTCTTTTCTCTTCTTTTTTTACGATCTGGGCTGGAAAGCTTTGAACCTTCTCAGAACCTTCTATGGGGGAAGCCTCCTATTTGCAGAAGGGAACTCTGCATTAGCTTTCAGTTTTGCTAGCTTGGGTGGCTTGAGCAGATGATGATGGAGAGAGAGAAAGGGAGAGAACAATAGGAAGAATTACTGAGGCACACTAGCCTGTTGCCTCATCTGTGGAACCGGACACCTCAAGTTCAAGTTACAGCTCTGCCATTTGTGCTTATGACTTTGGTTATTTTACTCTCTGTTTCAACTTCTTCACTGTGTAAAATGGTGAGTTATGATAGGAATTAAATGAGTGAATACTGGTTAATTGCTAAAGAAAGTGCCTGATACATAACAATAACTTTTTGTTATTATGATCATTATTAATTTCATGAGCATAAAGGGTGGTGGAGACTTAAGGGTAAATGTCCTAAGTCTATTGATTCTTTCTCTGTCGTTTACAAGAGTAGATTTTCCTCCTATTCCTTTGCTCTCTTTTTTTTCCATGAACAGTGGTACCTTCTTAGCTAAACTAGGACTGATTGATCAGAATGCATTCCGTGTTTTTCCAGAGTTACTGACAATGTCTTTCAGAACATCAAACAACAGCAGTGATTTAAAATGGAAGCATTGGCTCAAACAAAGGGCTCGGGACCATATTGTTGCCACCTGTTAAAAACCTAGAGTGGGTTTTTCATTGAATACACAGTAATAGGAAAAACTTACTAGAGCCATACTTTGGTGATTATTAAGCACCATAGTAGATCCTTTTGAAGCTTCATAATGATAGTCACACAAAATGGTTGTTAACATTTCTCATTTTACAGACGAAGAAAATGGATTCAGGGAGTGCTTCTGGGAATTCACTCAAGTAAGAAAATGGCAACAGTGATCTGAGGGCTCTCAGAGCCAGGACGTGCGCTGCCTTTACTGCGCAAAATGGCCCCTCTGCCTCAGAACATCTCATCCGCGAGTCTTACAAAACTTGCCTGGGAATTCCACACAGGATTCCTAGGAAAACTGAAAAGTTGTACATAGGCGTAAGAGCATTGATATCTTAGCACAAGCAACTTTATTTCTTTGCGTGACATTTATTCATTTGTCCACTACTTCATTAATTCACATTTTAGTTCTATTCCAGAAAAGATTCTTATCGGGCAAACACAATTACCATTTCATTTGCTGTCACCTTGCAAGACCTTGAAGGAAGAGGAAATTGGTGAGGAGACTTTTGGGTGGGTTTTGGGTGGGAGGTAGTAACGGGAAGTGAGACAAAGGGAATAAAGTTGAACTGAAAAGAAAAGGGGTGCCACGCCCAAGCCTGACTCACTGCATGTTTGTCCTGGGGCTGGTCACGGTCCTGCAAGGGGCACATGGACATTCTGTGGGAAGCACAGAAATCATCTGTCATGAACTAACTATAGTATCTTAAAAGTAGGGCCACATGGGCAAGTGAAATGACCTCCTTCATTCCATATGGAGGAAGTTCAGAGGTTGAATGACGTTTGGCAGCATTGATGGCAGAGAAGCCCTGAAGGGTTATGGGACAGGAAAGGCTACAGAGTTTAGAAATTAGGGGTAAAAAAAAAAAAATTCTTGCCCCAACTTAGAGTGTATGGAATTGACTTTGGCAGCTCTTTGAAGGCTCTCATGGTGCTCTAGACGTATTAGACTTTCAAAATTCCTGTTTTATAATAAAATTTTCACCTAAATTGGATTTCTATTAGTGGAAGGGATTTGCTTTTTAAATCTTTCCTTTCTTTGATACTACAATATTGTGAAAAATAATAGGGAAAAAAAGAAGAAGGAGATGAGTCAATAGATGAGGATTTGGTTCTGAGTTCTGGCTTAAATTTAACCTAAATTGACTGTAGGCCTTTGGGTAAATTATTTTCCCCTTTAATTTTCATTTTTGGGAATTACTCAAAATCAACACTAGAGGGAGCTGGCATCACACTTCTTAGTAACTTAATGACAGTCCAATTTAATCAGGTTTCGTAAGTCTTCCAATTTGTTTTGTTTCACTAATTCTGCTCCTTGTGTTGGTCAGGAATGTAGCAAAAACAAAATAAAACAACAGCAACGAACAATATTTCAAACACAACACAGTTTTTCTGAGAGTTTAGAATGGAAATGATAATAGAAAGTGTGCTAATCTGTTTCAGACACGCTATGCTCTTAAATACCAAAAGAGGGTGCTCTAATACATTTTAAAACTGCACTTCTTAGGAATACAAAAGCTACAACTTTTCTTTCAGGCAACAAAAATTCTTTTTTTCTGTGTAACAGAGTTGACTGGATTTCTTTACTTCTTTTTAAAATTTAAGATAGCTACTGTGAACAAAAAATACTGCAAATCATATCGGTAAACAAAGAATGCTGAAACCATCAAGTCATCAGTGGCTGCCACCTTCCCCCAGTGAAGACAAGCCTGCAGCCCAGCCTCTGCATCCACTCACAGGGT